AAACAACATTTCAAAGCTTTACTTGTACTGAAACACTATTTTTCAACAGCCTGATAATTTTTTATTCGATAAAAACACAAAAGACTACAAAATACCCGGTAAAAACTTTCCAAAAGATACTCAAATCGTGTAATATCATTATTTCAATAACATATCAAAAGTTACGCGGTAAAAGTTTCATCCATACAAAGATAGGGGTCATTTTTCGGTAACAGAAACACAAAACTGAGTAGAAAAATACCAAAATACGAAATCTTCAAAATCAGACATAGGATTCGGATTCCTTACTTTGAGACAAACAAATCTTCCAACTGCGTCGTCGGACGAAAAGCGCTCCGTGGCCACCGAAATCAAGCTTTTCTCTTCTCTTTCTCTCTCCAGCTTTTTCTCTCTCTTCAAAATGATTCCAAAATATCTCAAATCTGATACTTATTAAATAGGATCGTCCCGGACAATTCCTATTCGTCCCGAGACGATTTGCCCTATGGACAAATCTCGTCCAAACGAAATGGATTCGTCCCTGGACAACTTGCTCTCTGGACAAATTTTGTCCCGACGGTTCATCCTGGCTCGTACAGGTTCGTCCAGACGAATCAGGCAGATTCTTCACAATTTTCTTCAGTTCGTCCCGTACTAAATTCAATTCGTCCGAACTAACAGTACTCACAAAAATGAAAATTTGAGGGGTTTTAGAGAAAATGCTTTGCGGATTTGCTAAAAATGCTCAAATCCCGATGATGACTGTGTTTACAGAAAATCTCAATTGGAGGAGACCTTATTTTCAAAATACTCAAACCTCAATGCAAAATACAAATCTTTTAAAATGTTCTATCACCCTAATGATGGCTGCGTTGAATGTAAATCTCAATTGAAGGGGTTAATTCTCAAAAGCATATTAAAATTTCAAAATTTAATCTATACCAAGTTCTAAACATTTAAATAAAAATTTGATCACAAAAAATTTAAAACTAAAATCCATCAATACTTCGCAATGGTTTAACGAGGATGATAATTTGAAGAATAACTTCATATTACAAAGCACAGATGTTGTGTGGAATGCATTACAACAATTCATTCTCAGTTGATTCATTACCATCAGGGATGTAACACGTGCCCTTTGACTGGGTGATTTTATTGCAAAATGGCGGTCAAAGCCCATATATCATCTAAGGGCTAAAAGCTCCTTAAGTAATAAATTATAGGATGCACTATATAAAATATAAAGTCCTCTGTTAACTAAGATTGATTTAAATTCATCACCTTAGAAAAAACATACACCCTAAGTCTAAAAGATATTTTTGGACGACGCAACTCATGACTGTTGACAAAGTTTCTTCTGTCAGGTTGAATCGACTATCTCCTCCAACTAAGTAGACTAGGGAACATGACAGCCTGGGATGATGGAACCGTGGAATTTTGATCAGACCCATCATCATTCCCCCATCACCTGCTTAAAGTATACATTAATAAATTTAAATCATAAAATCCAAAACCAGATTCGATGCTATCATACATTAGGTAATTATTGCGGCCTATTTAATGATTAGTCTTAATCGAAACTCGAAAGTTCTCTTTTATTCTCAGGGGGTAATAAACCTATTGTTCAACTATTTAAATTCAATTTCAATTTCAATTTCAATTATAAATTCAACCCTAAAAAGTGACATTTTGATGTAGAACGAGAATGACGGCTTTGCTAGGGAGAGCTTGAAGGCAATAATTTGTTACGATTCCTATCAGGAAATCTGAAACATTTCAGATTTTTCTCACAAAATCTGAGAGAATTGGAGGTGGAGAATAGCTTCACGCCCTTTCCCAATATTCTGAGAATTACTTCAGGTTTCCTTTCTAAAACCTGAGAAGGAAATCTCAAGTTCAAGTTTATTCGTATCATAGAGCCAAGGTTCTTAATTTCATCATACTAAATCTTATTTAATATTTAAATATTATTAAATGATAATTATCAAATTCATAGCCATCAACAATGCATATGATATATATTATATTAATGAAAAAATAATTAAATTGGTATGTTGACTCTTTATAAATGATCAAAATGATCATCAACTATATTAAGGACTATTTTGATCCTGAAGTATTTAAAAAGGAATCAAAATAATCTCATGATGAGACTACTTGGTTCCTTTTTTTAGGAGTTGAGGGTTCAAATTAATACTTTAATATAGTTGAAGACTATTTTGATCTTTCATAAAGAGTTAATGGACCATTTTAACAGCCCTTTACTCTTATATTAACCTTAAGCACCTTACCATATAAAAATTCTTGGTTGATATAACTTTCACTTACTTTAGTGCCAATAATATAACTTTTCACTTACTTTAGTGTAGGACTCCGGATGCACTACGTCACACATTTAAACTTATTAGTATTGAAGTATGTTTCTATTAGACATGTCATATTTAGCCAATTATGTTATGTCATTTGACAATATTTTGACATTCTTTTCAACCGTCGGAGCAAAATGGTTATTTATGATTTTAAACATATTTATCATTATCTTACAACAACAACAACAACAAGCTTTTATCCCACTACGTGGGGTTGGCTGCATGAATCATTTTTCTCCATTGTGTCCTGTTAAGAGTCAAATTCTCATTTAAATTTAAGAAAGAAAGGTCATTTCTAATATTTTTTAACCAAGTCTTTTCAAAGTCAACCTCTACTTTTTTTAACATAAGTCAAATCTAATACATTTACTCTCCTAAAAGAATCATCAAAAGGCCACCATTTATGTGACCAAACCATCTAAGGTAACTCTCTCTAATCTTATCTTCCATTGGAGCTACTCCAACCTTTTCACATATATGCTCGTTTGGTAACCTGCCTCTAACAGTAAAGCCACTCATCCACCTGAGGTTCCTCATCTCTACTACACTTAACTTAATATTATGCTTCACTTTTAATGGCCAACATTCTACACCATAAAGCATTGCAGTTCTAACCACCATAAAGCAATGCAAGTCTCATTCCGTATCATTATTTTAAAATAAAATTAAAATGATCATGAATTAGACTACCATTATATAATAGAGGTCATTAGGTTGTAACTAAAGATAATTGAGTAATGAATAAAGAAATGGCATTTGATCTAGCAATTTTTCTCCTAATTGAACTTCCACCCTTTCCCTTACCATAAGCGTCATTCATGCTTTGTTTCTCTCAACATCCTACCTCCCTACTCTAAGGAAATCTTTATTTCAACCCTCTCAATCATCTTCATCTTTTTACCTCCCTAATTAGTATTATGCATTAATTCTCATCTTCCCAAAAATAAGGTATCAAAGTCCATTATTTCCATTTCCACTAACATGCTCAAATATGAAATCTCATTTCAAAATTATGTCATCTACTAATGACGCATCTCATGATAGCTTATTTTGAACATCTTATGTAAGAATCTATATAAGATAGGATATAAATGTAATGCTCATATGAAATCCAACTTTAATTTAGGAAAACTCTATAGTCAATTTACAACTACTTATATAGATAGCCAGTAATCATTTTACATATTTTTATGACTTCAACATAACTTTGATACAGACCTTCATTAACACCTACAAAATTGATTTCAAGTACTAAACAAATGACTCTTTAAGATTAACCAAAATATATATATAAAGATCCTTTCATTCTATCCATACATCTCCCAATATCCTTAAAATTAAAGTGAAGGGTATGCTCCAGAAGCAAAGTGAAACGAAACAAAAGAGCAAAACATTGTTTTACCAAAAAAGTCGGGGAAAAACTAAATAATGCTTTGAAGCATTGAAGTATGTGTTTCTTTTTAAAGTGGAAAATGCTTTAATTATTCAAGCTTTTTTATGTGACTGCCATTATTTTAACTTTTTTTTTTAAATTGGTTTGATCATCATAGGCTCTCTTTATTAAAACTATGCTTTGATCATATTGTTGTTTTTTTTTTCATTGTAAAAAAACATCCAATTATTTGTTAATAAAAATTAAATCATTTGAAATACAATCTTCTTACTTTTTAATTGTCAAAAAACAACATATTGATTTAAAGCTATAAAGTTTTTTATATTGTTTTTTATATTATGATGAATAATAGTGTTTATGGCTAAGTTTAAACTTTCAAGTGCTACTTACATAATTTATGCTTCATATTATTTAGCATCAGGCCTCCTCATAAATCATAATCACTGCTCTATCAAATTTAACTTGAGAACGGACCTAAATCTTACATGCTCTTAATTGACTATATAAAATAATTTCTTTATTAAGCTATTGCTACATGTATAACAATATATGCAACTATAAATGGAATGGTCTTCAGTTAACTAAAGCACTAATTTACTTTGCACTTTAAACTTTGAAGCTAAAAGAAATCTTGTACACTTCACTTTGTGGATTGCACTTTCAAATCAGCAAACATTTCGTGTTGTAAGTGTGAAAAATAAATTTGCTTGAAAAGTTCCAGTATTGCCTATCTCTGAAAAGTTTGATATTTATCAACATTTAATGGTTGAACCCTAAATTGACTCCAACTGCTATCACCATTCTATTTACATAAGGTGAAGAGATTTTGCGGTCATCAAGGATCTTGGTCGTTGCAAAATAAAGAATAAAGTTTCTTCATGGCATATATTTGGTATATTAGTTTGACCAGAAGTTAATAAATTAAATGGGGCTTGTACTCCACTACCAGTCATTGAGGTTAACATAGGCTCCTTAGCATTCGTCAAAGAGATAACAGTTTGATGAACCAATCAGTCTAGACAGTTTCAACGGCATATTCCTTGCCTTATTTTCTTAGCATGAAAGTTGTACAGCCAAAGATCTGATGAGTATTACAGAAAGCAATGGCTGCTTCTATGCCCCAATAAGCAAAAGATTTCACTGGAAAGAGAGTGATTATGAAACAGCCAGTTTACAGCAGCATCTTCTATATCCATTAAGTCCTACTTTAGATTTTGAAAATTAAACAAGGATTAGCTTCAAAAAGAACTTGAAATTACCCGAAGATCATACTCAACATCAGAACATTCTGATTTTACACCTCGCATGCATGATTTCTGCCCATTGATATGAAGCCATGCATTTATCTGCACTTGAGACACAATGCAACCATCACCATCAGGGAATGACTTCCGATAGTTGAGAATGAAGCATCTATCACGGCCTCTAAATCCCTATGTAACAGGCACACATTTGTAGAGATCATGAGACAGGAAACAAAAAAATGGATAAAGAAAACTCAATAATGCATATACCTCTGTACGAGCACAAGCCCACTCCTTTATTCTAGGATTTGGTGCTTTCACATTCATAGGTTGACTATCAGTATGATGATAATTATTTCTGGCATGCAGTATACAATTTCCATAGAAGCCAACCTTTTCATTATCTTCTCCTTCAAGCTCACTTTGCAGTAAACCCTAGGAAAGAGGAAAAGCAGGAAAATTAAGGAATGGGCTGACAAGACGAGCACCAATTTTCACTTACAAAACAAAATTTTCCAGAAAGTATAAACATAGAGGATGCTAGAGTCATGATCAACATCAGTCCATTCTGGATTTCTGGGTTAATTTGGTTGCATGTAGATAATAGTTTTCATACTTTAGAAAATGATTTTATCTTCAAAAAAGTGTGAAAAATGAAACAAGTGCATTTGAGGAAGTCATGAGGAGTTTGGAATAATTACTAGTTCCTAACCATATCCAATCAAATGATAGGCTTAACAATTTTGAAATTTTTTCAAACTTTGTTTTCTGTTTTCTAATTTCAACAAATGACGCTTTGTCTTTTTTAAAAAAGATATATTAGCATGAGTGTATTAAAAGATGTGAGGCAAACATGTAATATCTCTTCACAGTCGAAGTTTTATTTCCTAATAATTACCCTCAAATGATAACTGTTGTCAGCACCATAATCTATAAAATTCTGACTGAAAAGTTAATAATAAGCAAGAACAGGCTCAAATAGCAAACGTTTCTGCCAATCAAAACTAAGATAACACATCTTGATGTCAAAATAATGTGGCCTAAATACTACGATTAAAAAAGGATTTTTTCTTCCCCAAGATATTCTATAACTAAAGATGTATTTGTCATGATTGAATTGATGTATTTAGAATGACCAGGAAGAACGAAACTGTAAATAATACAATGGACGCAATGATAACAACAAAAGTAAAACGGCTGGATTCAATTAATCAAGCATACTTTCTGGTGAGCACACCAAGGATGGAAATGGATAGAGCAATTTGAAACTCTGCACTTAATGCACGAACCCCCATGACGGCCACAAAGAGAGCAAACCTGGAGCCAAGGAATTGCAGCCGATAATCAGTAATGTAGATTGATAAAGAAAAGTAAATTATAAGAATAGGATTGCATGATATTACATTAATAAGTTTTAGCGTTGCATAAAGGTATTACATTAAAAAAAACCCTTAAATGATCATCTTTTTTTTATTCTGAGATTTATTAAGAATGCATTTCTGCCCAAGGCAACTTACAATATCTTGAATGGCAGGTTGAGCACCACAAACATCAAAAGCGTTCATTTTGCCAACATTTGGGCATCGTGTACCAGGAGTCCATAGCCCACAAACTACATGCACCCATTGCGTAACAGATGGATCAAAAGCTCCTTCAATAATACTATTATTGACATTAATTTTGTCTGCAAAACCATCAGTCTCTTCAGTAGTATTCTTCTGGTCGTGCTCATCTATGTCAGCAGCAGCGCCTGGAAAGGCTTCAAAGCTTCTAAACCCAACAGATGGAAAAAAAGAATATTCATCATATTCAGCTTCATCTAGTTCTAGCGAACTTGGATTCAAAACTCCATCCTTCATACTTTCAAATGGCCAAACTATTTTTCTTGAAGTGGATCCAACAGTAACTTTCCAGACTTTTAATAGACTTTTCACAATATTTGAACTTCTCAGTGCCCGTGTCATTGCACCTCCATCATAGCCACACAGAACACAAGCCTACGTACCCATTGCAGGAACAATAAGAAAACAAGGATAAGGCCATAATAACAGTCTTGTACATTTCAGTGACAATATCATTCCATTTTCCACAGTTATATATGTAGCACTCGCCTCTTATACACGCACAAGAAGAGGAAAAACCAAAGAAATAAAAAACACAGCTAGACAGCATTAAGACAATCCCAACGAGAATCCACTAAAGCCTAGCAGCAAACAAAAAAGAACAACATAACACATTATGGATTCTTTTTGAAGTGAAATTTTATAACTAGGAAATAATATAGGTGCATCAAGGGAAATTTTTTAAAATTGCTATAAGGAAATAAAAAGTTCATAAGACAATATAGCATTTTATGTAGAGGTGTGAGAATTGAGGAAGCAACTCATCACGATGATAAGATGTGCAAACTTCTAATTCAAGAAGCAACTTCTTCAGTTTTTTTGATGGGGACATCGACAAGAAGTTTCGACGCATTTATCAAAGGCGACACAGGAGATCGATGGCCATGATGGAGAGTCTTTACTTTTGATGCATTTTCTATATTAGCATTTTAGGTATTAATCATGTTATTTCAGTTTTTCCGTTTTTGCCCTTATGGGTAGTTGGTCGCTATTGTAGCCCAAGGGGCATTCTAGTCTTTTGTTTTCTTTGTCATTTTAGAGGCCTATATATATGGCCATCTTCTTATGTATGAGGATTGATTTTTGATGAATGAAAAGTTATTTTATTGATCTCTTTGTGAGTTCCAAAAACTCCTCTAGATCTCTTTGTGAGTTCTTGAGGAGAAAGCATTGTTGATCTCTTGGTGAGTTCTATTGGAGGAAGAGTCAAGGTTTGTGTGTTTTGATTTTCCTTTCCCTCCTCCAAGAACCGTGACTCTCTCCCCTTTTTTTTTTCTCCCCACAACCTTCTCCACCAAGCCATCCCGCCGCCCCTCCCAACCTAGCCGCCGGCCAAGAGCCACCCGCCGACCCCCCTTGCAGCCGACCCATCTTGTCGTCGGCTCCTCTTGAGTCTTGCATTTGAAATTCAAAATTTTCTCATGAGGGATTCATTACTTTCCTAAAATAAATCCTAGAATTTAGGCAATCATCATAATTGAATTTCAATTCCAATTTGAAATTCAAAACGTTGCCTAATGTTTGCATTCAAGTTTTCCTTTTGTTAAAATCTTTTAATTAAACATGTGGGCCCAACTTAATTAAATCTTATTCCCCTCCCCTTTCTCTATTTTAGCAGGCCCTTCATGGGCTCCTTCTCTCTCACGCATTAATTCCCAATCTCCACAAAATCAGCCCCTCTCTCTCCCCATATGGCCGGCCACCTCTCTCCAATTGTTTCTCTCTCCAATTGCCACCTAATCACCACTTAATTACCTCATTAATGCCTTTCCCTCCCAAGATCTAATTTCAATTTCAAAACTTGGAATTGAAATTAAGATTTCTTCTTTCTTTCTTAATAAAAATCTGAAGTTAAACTTCAGATTTTCTCCTCCCCCAAAATAGCCTCTTCTTCTCCCCTCTCTCCCTCCCAACCGTGACCCCATCTCTCCCCCAATCCCACGGCCCAACCCTCTTCCCCTCCAAGCCGCCACCTCTTCTCCCCTTCTCCCTTTTTCTTTGCTCCGTCAATTCCCGGCAATGATGTATGGCGGATCCCGAAGTTGATCACGGCTTCGCGTACCACGAGCAAGGGGAGATCGACATCTTTCTCTCCCCCTTCTACGAACCGGATTGGGAATACGACATCACCGTTGAACGCTACGTTAACCGGATCGTGTATTGCCTTGCCCACACCATTGAGCTTCAACAACCAAGGACCCCGTGGTCCCTCACCAGAAGATACGTGCCACCTCCACCTCCGGCTACCTTCCCAACAACGACGTTCCTCGGCTCGTCCGTTCTAGTGGCTACTTCATTTCTAGTGTAGAAGATCTTTCTCCGCTCAACCTAGATTCGTAGGGAAGAGAGTAGATCCTCAAAGGTGAACACCTCATTATTAACTTTTGGTTACAAGCTTTTACATTACTTCACCTTGTATTTGATTGAAAGTGTCTTGGTTAATCTCCATGCAATTCTTTGCCTAAGCAAGTGGAAGACTGAGAATTCTTGTAACCTACTTTGAATTGACGCATCATTTTATAAATGTTAAGCTTCTATTAAATTCTCTTGATAATCTTGTGTAACTCCAAGCATGTATCACATCACTTTTTGTATGTAAAATTGCACTAGAGCTAAAACTAAGTATGAAATGCATTAAAAATTCCTTATATTGTTGAAAGCATGTCTATAACTTGGTATTCGTGTGCAAATAACAACCTATAAATTTTAATGATGTAAGCTCAAAATTACGTGCCTTGTAACTATATAAATATTTCACTAATTGATAATACTTTGAAAATAAAGACAGTGTGTTAACTTTCTCCTTTTTTTTAGATACTTGCATTGCATTACTTATTTATTTTATATTAATGCATGAAACGTTTAACTCCAAGTTATATAAATTGATAATAAACTGTTAAACCTAAGGAATGTCATATTAGATAGTGGGAGACAATAAAATGTTATGATACTTGCACAGGTGGGACAAAAGGGACCCCAATTGAGACATCAAGACCTCAATGTAATTTAATGATGAAAATGCTAATGTTGGGTTTTACATGGGTTTCATTGAACATTATTATGAAACCTTAAAGGGCTAATTTATGTTATAATGAAGGCCAGAAAATGTAGACATCTAATCAAGACATATTCATAGGCTTAAGATGAAATGAGATGTGAAAAAGAAGAAATTATTAAATGAAATATATATAAATAAATTCAAGGTTGGTCCTTTAAATCATTAAATGACATGATATCATCTTACATATAAGATTTTGCATTATGATATTATTAATTAATGGTAACATCTAAATGTTAATTCATTTTATAAGAAACTTATGAATTTTAGTATATGGAATGTAAAGGGTGTTCAAATTATGAATTGTGATCGGTTAACGTTAGAGATGCATATCTTTATAAGTCTCATAGCTCACCAGATTTTTATTATGATTGTTTTTACATGAAAAGGTAAGCTAAAGTTGAAACCTTGAGTAGATTTAGGTCAATTTAAAACTCATCTTTTATTGTATAGTCGAGTAAAATAAATCCTAATATGAGGTATGTAAGATATTATTATGGGAATGTTTTGGGGGTTATTAGTGGCTCTATATATATTTGGAATGGTTTCATTTTGTTGATGAAAGTGATAAATTCCATCAAGAATATTATTAGAATGTTTATAAATTATGAATGTTAGATGATTTGGATATTTTTCAGTGTTGCATCATGCATCATTTGGTAGAGAGGGTCAATGTGATACGTGACAGTATATATCCCTAACCACTTTTTTTTTTTATATATATATATATCCCTAACCACTATGAATCATGAACACTTCTAATAAGACTATCCAATTTGCTTTCCTTTCTTATAGCTCTCTAATAAAAACTTATGACACTTTTCAACGCATCATGGATACTTCATGAATACCCCCTAACATTTTAAGTATGAGAACAATGAAGTGTACTACTTGATTTAGAAATCCTGAGACAATAAAACCTATAGTTTACTCATATTTTTTTCTATACTTGATTTAGAAGTATATCATATCAGTAAAATGCCTTTCTTAACAATTTAGAATCACATTTTAGATTCCATATCTAGCTAGTGTTTGTGCATCATAATCTCCACCAATCATACAACTTTTTCAGAAGTTGAACAAAATGTCCATGTTATCATTACTAGCATAAAGACCTATATATTTTCATAGATGTAAATAGGCTAGTTATTGCTCACAATGTTCTGAGAGTTCGACTTGCAAGGTCTGCAATACCAAAGGTCCTTTGGAAATTTGGAAATACCATAGCAGGCCTGGTGCACCTACATAACATTTTTCGCATTTTTATTAACGCTAAAAAATAGCCATATGGATTAAAAAAAAACTTCATTAATCACGCACTCTAATCATGCATCGGTTGCATTCCAACAAGCAATTCATTGCTTCTTTGTTTGAACCTCCACAAACACAACACAATGCTTCTGCGTCAACTGGAAAGGGCTCACTCCTGCTCCAAATAATGAACATCAGAGTTTCTAGTAGTGACAAGGGGAATACTAAAATATAAAACAATGAAATCGTTAAATAGAATATAGCTCCACAACTTCGATGGCCTTCCTAAGCACATAATTCCTGAACATGCGCATACCTTCTTCTGTTCGTTTGCAATTGCTCGCCAGTATCAACTTTATTATTCACAGAATTGCTTCTAGATATCATGCTAGCATACCATGTATCTTTTATAGCCTTCCCGAAACCTAAATTCAACACATGAGATTCCGTACCTGGGTGCAGGATGCGTTTAATTACCATTAGAGAAGAGAAGCATAGCTCAAATACCCTGAAGATGCCAGAAATCAGATAAGCCTATCAAAATTGAAGCATTTTTACTCCAACTAACATTGAGCATGAAATCCAATGGTCAAAATATAAGGATTAGCTTAATAGCCGAACAAATATCACCCAAATCAGTTCAATCACTTTTTAAAGCTAAATTTCTAAACATCAGGAATACAGATATCCTTTGTTGTATGATCAACCATTCTTCTCGTGACATCAAATATGAAGTTCCTTATGCCTTGTTTCAATTGGAAATCTCAATTATCATAGCATGAAAAAGGTTTTTTTTTATATTATTTGAACAAGTTGTAATTCTAAGAAATAACTATTGGCATGTTATGTAAATACCATTAGTTGTAGTCATTTTCTTATTTTACCTGACATGAAAAGTTTGCCAATGTATGGATTCCCACTGTCATTCGGTGATTTGCAAGTCGATAACTCACTGCATTGCTGGTCTTTTGCATCAGTACATTCCAATTTTGACAATCGATATGTTTTAGGCTCAACTTCCCAGTAACTCTTGCATCTTCTAGCCTTTTTAAGAATTAAGTTAAGCGGAACTATTTTCGCAGGTTTTTGTGGAGCATTCAACGCACCCCCAGAAATGATACCAGAATTTCCACAAACAACTGGCCTTTTGCTTATGGTAGAATCTTCTGTTGCATGGTTCCTAGAGTCCACTATACAACTTAGTGACATGTACTTGGGTGGTCTTTCACCAGTTAGATGATTCAAACTCTGATAGAAATGCCTTTTCCCATGTACAGTAAAATTATCTTTCTCCGCCATTGCAAAAGAAAATTCTAATTCTTCAGAAGGATTTTTACCATTTTTCAACTGAAAATTATGGTTCTCAAACTTATTCAAAGATATGAACTTGGAGGAGGTGAAATCAGATCTCTTGCGCTTGACGTTCGAGGATCCACTAGAAACCATGCCTGTGCCTTCCACAACATTGTCAGGTTGCATAGAGACACCATCCCGTGTTGATGATAGGAGATGCTTTGCTTCATCAATAGAGTCGAGAGGCTCTGAATGTGCAAAATGGGAAACTGATTTAGAAACTGTTTTCTCCAACTTGTAAGCTTTAGGAGATTCCTTTCTACTCCCTAGTTTCCAAATGTTAGTTAACTGCTGTCTCTGACAATTATTTTCTTGATCTGTACATCTAGTAGTAATTTTATTTCTAACATTCTTTTGATTGGATGCGTATCTAAATTTAAGCTCATCCATATTGTTAATGGATGAATGGCTCGACATGCAGTCAGGCCCAGTGTTATTACCTGAAACCTTGCAACAGGTATCAGGAACTTCTTTACATTTTCCAGCGTCTAGCATTTCATCAGAGGAACTGCATTTCTCAATTGCTGATCCTTCATCAAACTCAGAATTATTTAAAATCATGGTGGTTTTAACATTTGAAAACTGGGCATCTTTCTTGTTGACTTCAACTGAAACTTCAGTAATCGCTGGAGCTGAAGATCCAGAACGATTGGACAACTGTTGCTCATCCAAGGACGTGGATGCCTTGAAAGTTGCATCTGACTTCTTAGATGCAGTCTTTGTTTGTCTGTTTACTCGAGGGACCTCAGAGGTCCTTCCATGATTGTCAGAAGTAGCAGTAGAATATCCTATGATCTTACCGGAAACAACCCTCCGGAAACCAGTCTGGCAGTTGTTTTGCATGACAATCCTTTTCTTAAAGCATGCACATTGATCTAATTCAACTGTTTTTTCTTTCTCAAATGCGGAATCCTGATCAAAAGTTGGATTTACGTGCTTCAACGTTCCATTAACATTGGGGTCATTAATGGTATCAGCAGCGCATACAGCCTCACCAAAACAATAACCCGTCTTGCACTTGGAGATTGTAGCACAACAACAATTTCCAGAGACGGGAAGATTTCCTGCCTTACAGATACGCATTTCATGCTGAACATTATCTAAAGATGTATCAATCAAGATATCCCTTGGTCTACCAAATAAAGGTAAGCTTGTAAGATAAGGTAAATATAACAAAACTGCAACTCAGAGAAATTTTAACATAGACCAAAGAAAGTTTTAAGGGGAAAAAACAGAAATGAGAGCAATAACTAGAATCCAAGCAATCTATAAGAGAGTATCAGTAAAAGAGAACAGGCCCTAAACCTTGAAAAAAAAGGGTTGCTGAAAACTTGTGAATCTGATATAATGTCATTGTCTTTAGCCATAACAATAAGCTATGGTTGCACCCATCGCCGGCCCCAACATCACACACCAATAAACATGTGTATGCCATAAAAAAGTTCCCAGACCCGTACAAATTAAATCAGTAAATTGATAGTTAAATACAAGAAATAAGTGCACCAGGGGGGGGGTTGACAGCAGGGCTGTTGGGGTCAAAGTCAAGACTTTATTTACACATTGGACAATAATAAGTCAGTTCAGAGGAGATATCAGAGTTGTTGGCCTTCATCTATAAGAATAAAGATACATGGTGGGATGCATTTTTAACTAGTTTATAGAGAAAAACTCAAATAGGCTGTCATCAGTAGGATTAAACTTACATGGTGAGATGCATCTTTAACTAGTTCATAAAGCAAAACATAGTCTAGAAAGACTTCTCATCAGATTCCATCAGTAGTTCTTAAAATGTTAAAAGAAATATACCAATGCCGATGTTTGTTAAGGCACACCAAGAATAAGGTACTTTAAAAATGAAGGGTGTTACCCCAACCCACCCACAACAACACCACTCAGTGTTTGTGTGAGGATACCTAGAGTAAAAATGCATATGTTATTAATATTTTATTTAAAAAACAGATTTTATTTTATTAAGAGTTATATTATAGTGCGCCTTAAAGAAACGCTATAATTGTAAATAGCATGACATTTCAACCATTCTGGAATAAAAATGAAAAAAAAAAATGAGAGAGTTTATTGGATATTTAATCAATGGTTGGAGCATTTTAACAAATTTGAATGTAATACTCACCCAAAAAAAATTATAATGTAATATAAATTTAATAAATATTTAAAAAATGTTATATGCATTAAAACACTTCAAGGACAAACTTCAATATATACAAAAAATCCCAAAATAGTCTCCAGATTATCCGTGTGTGGCCAATTTAGTTCTAAAGTATCACATTGCAGCACAAAGAAAAAAATATTCATTTTGTTTTGACCCCCCCTTGCCTACATCAAAACCCCAAATTAAAAATTATATGTTGTCATTTGCACGTCGTCTTCTGTAAACGAACTCTTCTCATTCTATTATTTCTAAATCTTTGGAGACTTACCTGAAACATTTAATTAGTTGAATGTGTTTACATAATAAACTCAGTGAGTAACAATTAAAATAATTTATATGCTTTAAAGTACAATATACATATATATATTTATATAGACATAACATTTGATATTGGTTCATTTATTTAACATTTGAGGCATATTTTCTTTCTTTATTTCATTTCATTTCATATACATATTATATCATATTCATTTCTTTACTTTTTACATACCATAGCATGTTCATTTATAACATTTACTTTAACAATTATTATTTTTTCCTTATTTCATATTGTACAAGAGAACCATCTAATTGTACCAAAGATACAACCCTTTCCATTTCCATAACATTTTCCTTAATTTTTTCGTGCATGGGTACGTTGTTTCCCCAGCCAGTATCATACGGGGATGAACTCCTGTAAACTTTGCATGCATAACATTTTCCTTTTCCCATTTTCTTAATTATATTTATATCATTTCTTAAACATTTATTTATTTACATTCTTATGTGTATAAGTATATGTATGCCTTTCATTTTCACTTCTCATTTCTTTCACATGTCTTGTTCATTCATATATTTTCTTATCTCATATACGTCTTCTTTCACATATCCATACTTGTAAAAAAAAAATTCTTCGTATAACAGTTTTCTAACATTATATAAATTATAAGCTTTAAGCAATTAAATGCATGCTCCTTTCAATGCAAACTAAAAAAAAAATCAATAAAGAAAATTTCATAAATACCCACTTTGAATCTTCTAAGTCTTTGATTTCATCACCACCTAAGGAGATACACAGTAAAGCAAGTTACATATAATTAATTTTATCAAACTTCTCAATAACATCTATTTAGGGAATGATGGAATCGAAGGAACAACCTGCATCAACGTTAGATACATCTATCCTTACTGTCCAATCATTTAATAGTAATGATGGAGATCATCAGAAACGAGAAAGGTCTTGATGTGATTATTGGAAGAAACTAGGTCATTATAAGGAAACTTTTTTGAAGCTCCATGACAAATCAGTTGATTAGAAATCAAAGTCATGGTTTGTGTCATGCCCTAGAATCAAATTGGAAGAATTAGCTATCTTTTTAATCATTTGTCAGAATTTCTATAAATTACAAAATAATTTAATATATCAAGCAAACGAAAGTAAATATTGTACTCCAAAAAATATATCACTATATTCTTTTACCAAAATCACATTTATAATAGTCAAGAGATCACTAACAATCAATAAGTCTATCAATAGCTCATAAATACAAAATAATATAACAAAAAATAAACCCAAAAAGAAGAAACTTGAAGATCTCAATACACCTCACTGCACAAAATTATGGCCCCTTCCCTGACTTGAAAGTAATAAAATCACATATTGAGCTTAAAAAACTAGTAGAAACTCAAAACTAGGCAAAGCCTTCAATAAAAGATCTAGGAAATAAATATGCATGCTCATCTCAATTAATAGTATCAATAACATCAAACATCATCAATACTCGGTCATCACTGATACAATTCAATATGATCAAATGAAAAGTAAGAATCATCATGCTTAAAAGTAAGAATCTGGCTTGAATTCTACTAATAATATCCCCAGTTTTCTTCTTTTTAATCTAATCATTGAGTTGGATCGATAAAAATGAAGAATAAATCAAATTCAGTTCATTTGTGCCTTCTCTATAAAAAAATATTTGGTAACCTTCTAAAGAAAGACATGATTGCGAACAAGATACCAATTTCAAGACATGCAAGCAAACCACTGCACGTCTACATTTGCATTGGCTTCTAGAATGCCCCAAAGCCATAGTGCATTGCATGGATGATAGCTAGAGGTAATCACGCGAAGATATATTTAACTATATCATTCGACTTAATCAAGATCATTCATTCCAAACAAGGGAGATTAAGTCACATATATCCGGACACTATTTGTGATGACTCAAATATGATCAAACTGACCTCCTGTGAACCAGACCAACCCTCATCTCATGCGACAGCATGACAAAAAAAATTCTTGCCTACAAGTCTATTTGCATGTAATTGTTTTCATTGACCCAAATACCAATCCCAAGTTTTTGCAAGATTCTCCTGCCCTCCACTTGCCTCCACACATGCCCTTCTCCCAGTTGCAGCCCTTGAGCATCTTCCTTCTTCTCACCGCCTCTCTCTCTCGTAGTAATAACTTTCATTCTCAATAGATAAGTGATACGTAAATGACCCAAAAAGAACATGACCTGAAACCTTACATGCATAGAAATATGTGCTAGCGAGCACAATGACGCTTGCCTCTCCGTTTAAAAAGTTCTAGTTGATCGAGCGTCGTGGCACTAATGAGCTGGGCACAGCGGCACCGGCTTCTCTGGTCTATAGCACATCGAGCGAGCGGTACAACACAAAGATACATCAACATCAACATCATCATCAAGCCTTTATCCCACCACGTGGGGCCGACAACTTGACTCTTTTTTCCTCATTGTGACTTGTTAGGAGTTAAATTCTCATTTAAATCTAATAAAAAAATATCATTTCTAATATTTTATAACAAAATCTTTTTAGTTCTACATCTACCTTTCTTAACATATGTCAAATCTAATACATCTACTCTTCTAACCGGGTCATCTAAATCATCTAAGGCGACTGATGCCGCCAAGATCTGCGTGACACTTAGAGGAAGGAAACGCAAGCAATGGAACAATAAAAACAGAGCAGATATGCTCTTCAGGCTTTTCTATTGAAGAAGAAGATTAAAAAACTGCTTACAGCTTTCACATATTTCCTATATATATTATCTTCTAGAAAGTGTAAAGTTGCTATAAAAGAAATTGCCAGAAATAAAGTAAATAAGTAAAGCAGCTAACGGAAATAGTACTGTAGGTAATGGGAACGTATCTGGTAGTTAGCCCTGGTAGTATGGCTCGCGGGTATAGCATAGAGTATGAGCTGCATCAGTCCTCCCCTGGTTCCGAAGAGCTCGACTCCGACGAGCTAAGATTGATGATGTCGTCATCAGGAGGATTATAGGTCCAAATATCGGACACATTAAAGGTTGGTGATGTGTTGCAACCCGCGGGCAGTGCGACAGAATAAGCATTGTCATTTATTTTGGCTGTAATGGGAATGGGGCCTATTTTGCGATGAGCTAATTTGGAGTAGGTACCAGGTGGAAATCGCTCCCGGCGCATCCTCACCATAACGAGATCTCCAACATTAAATAGTCGTTGAAGGCGTCGTGTATATGCCGCCTCTTTGTACTTTTGATTGGATTTAACAATTTGATGCCTCACTTCATATAACATTTCCTCATATTGCTTTGTGAAGTTGGTGGCTGCCGAGGACTTGCACTTAGGCAAAATAGATATGTCAAGAACTGTATTCGGATGTTTGGTGTAGACAATGCTAAAAGGGGCCTTGCCCGTAGTTCTGTTGACCATTGAATTATAGGCAAATTTTGCCTTGCTCAACACATCTTCCCACTGTCGGGGGTGCTCTTGGACTAAACATCTGAGCATGTTGCCCACGGTTCTGTTGACGACTTCGGTCTGACCAACCGATTGAGGGTGGTATGCGGAACTGAGACGTAGTTCGGTGCCCAACCGATTCCAAAGCTCACGCCAAAAGTGGCTTATAAATTTCACGTCCCGATCCGAAGTAAGACTACGAGGTAAGCCATGGAGGCGAACAATTTCTTCAAAAAAAAG